ATTACTTTTTTCTTTTACAAGTATTCATTTTGTTGCAATGGATAAATTACAAGTTTGAAATTGACATGCTGCTTTGAAATTGGTTGATCCAAACTGTTTCTTTCATGGTGTCCCAAATATTGTCTTTTCCTTATCAATTTGCAGCATTTATGCAGCTTTGTTCCGCATGTTTTCTTTTCTTTTTCTTTTTTTGTCTAATGTTTAAATACCGCTACTTGCACTGTTGAACGGTGCTGCCTAACATGGCTGACTGCATCGGCTAGAAAATTATACGCAGAAACCCTATATACGAAATTTGAACTGTTGAAGAAATGTTCCCAGAATAATGGAAGTAGTGAAGGTGAATATAATGATTAGAGCTATGTTGTCCACTGAAACATCTATTTACAGAAAAGCTAGGTTTTTATTTGAACTCAGTTTCTACCCTAAATAAACTTTTTTATTCAATTTCTTAGCATCTAGCCAACCAATGGGGACGTTCCTGAGGTTTGAAGTCATATGCATAATCTAGCAAAACGCATTGCCTGCCAACTGATATATCATAGCAAGTGATAGGACTTGTTGCTTGTCACATTAATTTGCAGCTAAAAGTCTACACAGCATCAAATGTTAAAGAAGAACTAGAAGTCGCTAAACGAGAGTTTCTTGAAACGAATGTGGTTGTGAGGAAGTCAAAAAAAGTGTTCTTACCCAAGGTGCTGGAAAGGTTTGCTAAGGAAGCTTCAATCAACTTGGATGATCTTCTCAAGTGGGTCGCTGAAAATGTTGACAATAAGCTCCGTGATTCAATACAGAAATGCATCGATCATAAATCAAACAAAAAGGCATCTCAAGTTGTAGAGTGGTTACCTTACAGTTCAAGGTTCCGGTACGTGTTCTCAAAGGACTTAACAGAGAATCCATGCTGGGTATGAATTCCTTTCTAGATGCCTAACTTGACGAGGAGTTTCAATGTCCTTGTGATCAGGAGCCATTGAGCCTTGCTTAGCTCGGCAAGGAGGGACGTGATCAGTAACTGTGATCCACATTTTATTGTACATCAGGTTATTTTAGATATCAGTTTGTAGTCCAAAAATCCAGTGTTTTAGATTTTCTCCGATGCAGTACAATTTCACTTGTTCCCTGTAATGAGCTCAACGCCATGTGGTTCCATGAGATGAGCCATTGCCCGGTTGAGCTGTTAACTGGTGATGCCTAGCTGTGATCCACGTTTGTTGCTTTAACAAAATGGAAACCGTGTTCAAATTACTTTGTTTTCTTAGATATTCTTTGCATCTTTACATATACATAGAAAAATATTTTCCTCATCATAAGAATATTGTTCATTTTTTTATCTATTTATAATTGTTTTCAGAGAGAAAAATTCAACCTAGTTAAATGAAATTAAATTCAATATATAATAAACACCACACCAATAGAATTTTTTTTACTATTAGAGTTCTATTAATAATAAAATTTGATTTCATTCTATAATTATATTTTATTTTTGTCGAGATATATCTAATTAAATGCATTCTTGCATCGTGTTAGTATCATTCTCGTTGAAAAACTTTAATTTTTTCTTATTATATATTGTAAATAATCAATCAGAAATATCTTTCTTCTGAATATATTTAAGCAAAATGTGCACCAAGCAATTTGAATTAATTTTTGTCTTAATGGATAACTTGAAATAGCTTTTAAGACGTAAAATTTAGCCTTCAATGTATCAAAACACATTTCAATAATATTCTTTAATTCATTCAAAGCACGAATTTCATCTATGATATGTAGATAAATATGATCAACCAGCAAGCTTTTACGTGCAACTAAAAGGTGTTTTGTCTCTGAAAGTGCATGCAGGGGTTCAATCTTCAATCTGGTACGCGCAATTAATGCACATGGATTAAGATGAATTGTTAGTCATGTGAAACCAAATATATGATCATCATAACATAATCTCTGGCATCAAATGTTTCTTAGCTTTTTATGGTTCTACAATTCTGGTTAACATTAAAGAGAACAATTAAATGGCGCGTGGTTAATTTAATTATTTATGTAAACAATGAGCCAGATATACACACACACACACTTTTTTTACTTTAATAATAACCTTGTATGTGGCTTAGTTGATAGGCATGTTTTATTCAAATATTGTGAGTTTAAACACTGGTGAGAGTAATATTAACTTTAATTTGATATATAACCTATTGTTTATCAACTTTTTCTTCAAAAAAAAAGAAGAAGGGATGGAAAAAAAACCTAGTCTAAACATTCGAGTTTCTCTCAAGGCATGCATGTGAGCTTTTTGTTATTGGTTATTTGTTTTTTCTCTCTAATATATTTTTTTTATTTTACATTCATAATTAGAATCACGAGTTTGATAAATTAAATAGGATGGATTGTTTTTTTATTTGATTTTTTAATTTTAAATTGTTAAATCAAGTTTAATAATAATACAAAAAAATAAATATGTCTATTTGAATGTATATTTTTTACATTCTAAAAATTTTTTTGGTCCAAGGTGCAGCCATATCTTGGAATAACACATTACCTATATACCATATAGATAGCACACAAATAATAATATTGCACTTTTGGTATGAAAATCACAAGCCCACTACAAAATTGAATGGTGTAAATCAATTTTAAAATCCCTAGTTTTTCCACAACACTTGCGATAAACATAGATACACATGTCAGGGGTGTAGATTAATTAAAGGTTGGAATCTACATTTCACACTGTGCATATAAAACCTGTAATAACTCAAAAAGGAGCTACATCATTTGACATTAAAGAGAGAGAGAGATTGGTGAGCATAATGCTGTTATTCACAGAAGGAAAACTTGAAAGCCACAGCACATTACCGTTGATTAAAATGCCATAAACTAGCAGATCTTAAAAGATATTTACCCATCTAATGATCCCAACAAGTCCTAAGAACATATTGAACAAAAAGATGGAGAAAATCTCATAATAACAGGCGCGAGGTTGGAAAGCTCGGGCCAGAATAAAATGAGAAGGTCAGGGAAATTCCAGCAACGTTTAGGAAAATATGGGGCAAGCAATTTAGTGATAGAACATTACAGCTATCTGTTTCACTTCCAACATGGGCTCCAAAAAAAAGTATTTCTTCATGCTACCAGGATTCTAAAAGCCATTCATCAATCACTGTGCATGCAAGGGGAGCATTTTCCCGGCAACATTCCCATTTATGTTTCTAACAATACTTAAAAAAGATGGTGGCAATATATAGACAGAGATCTGAAAATTGTTGAGCTTATGAACGTGAAGATGAGTTGAGAGATAGGGGATCACGAATCCTGAGAAACTTATCCTAGCTGGATTTATTGTGGGGTTAGTGCTGTGATAAGTTTTGTAATTGAAGTTTGAAAAAATTTATTTTATAAAAAATATTTTTATTTGATGTTGGTTTGATAATTATATGTATTTGATTAAAAATATAATTAAAATTAAAGTTGAATAAAAAATAATTTAATTTTAATAATACAGCAAAATTTACCTAATATTGTTTATGTGAACAATATAAAAATAAATTAATTCTCTCTGCAAGATACGAACCAAAAAGAAAAGATAGATGAATATTACTTTTAACTAACCCGCATTTGAAACGTTAATTATAATGGGTACTGTACATAATAAAATAACATTTATTATTTTACCAAATATTTTGTTTACGTGGTTGGCTTCAAACCCTGAAGCAGCCACGAAACAAACACGCTATAGAGGATGATGTTGGCCTGGCTTTGAGTTGGGCACTAACTCAACTCCCTGAAGATGCGAAGCTTTGATGTTTCGCTGTTACTTTCTTCAAACTTCTACTGGCTTTTCCACATGCTGCCACCGTTTCTCTAAATCCCTTGCAGTTTTGTTTCATCCTCACAATTAAAAGCAGGAGGATGAATAAAAAAAATTGAAAAATTAATTAAACTAAAAAATAAAAAAAAAATCATAAAAAAACTGATTAAAACTACTAAAATTTTTAAAAAACCAGTATGTTTGATTCGGTTTGGGTTTTACAAAAAAATTAAAAAAATAAACTGAATTGAACCAAATAAAAAAACCAAACTAAACCAAAAAACAGAGTCAAAACTAAAAAAACCCAAGCCATACTAGAAAAACCAAGCTAAACGGGTTTGAAATGGGTTTTGTTCTAAAAACTGAACCAAATCAAACCAAAACTAATCAGTTTAAATTAATTTTAGTTTTTTAATTTTTAAAAACTAAATCAAATAAAAAATAATTACCCTTAACTCCTAGAGTGGGTATAAAAGAACATTATCCCCCAACAATTCTAATATTTCTTGTCTGATGATTTTCTTATGTTTGGGAACCGAAGACATATAATGTTGTCATTGCATATAGTTAATTTAGCAGCATTCAAATAGTTAAGTTGGCCTAATAATTATGAAAAAGAAAAACGGTATAAAAATATATAAAAACTAATTTTTATGTAAAGAAAAAAATATTAATTTTTTTAAAACGTAAAAATCTAACTCTCTCTTGTCTAGAATTTCAATTTCACACGACTGCTATTAAACGCTTCAAATCCGGCAACGAAGCTAGTGTGATACTGACCAGTAAAATCTAAACAGTCACCCTGAGAAAAAAAGTATTCTAATCCAACGGCTCATAAAAATAACCCTAGAATCTCCCAACTCCTAATTAATAGCCATAGGCTCCTCTGACCCTACCCGCCCCCCCCTCTCTCTCCTTGCACGTGTTCCTCACGTATATAACCAGTATTATAAATTTCGTATTTTCCGAAATCCACACTCAATCGATTCTCATACTCCACTTGTTACCCTTCTTTCTTACAGCACTCATCGACACCATTGAACCAAAATCCCTCCAACAAATCCAACGGTGTGAAAATCCCCTTTCACAATTCTATCGCGCCCTTTAATATTACTCTTCATTCTTTCATCCGACGCATGCAAGCAATCCACGTGCCCTATACCCCCATTCTCAAATCCCATCACCGCCGCCTGTTTCTTATGTGTATCTCTCTCACTCATCAAACCCAACCAAACGAGTTAAACAGCATTTCGTTTCCTTTCGTGACAAAAACACACAAAAAGTAATATCACTCACGCTCTTTCTCTCACCGGGACCTATCGTCTTTCAATTAACCGGAACCCTAACTCGATCCACCGGCGAATTCAAGATTCTGGTGTGTTATACAATCTCCGGCAACTATTAATTCTGTGCTTCTGTTACTTTACGTGAGTTTAATTAGGTTTTGGAAGTTTGGAAGAGGAAGCTAATTAGTTCCTTAGGGGTTTTGTTGGAAAAATTAGATGAGCGTACGATTGGGGAAGAGTAGACGACCAGGGCTTCGTCACCGAATGGAGGGAGGTAGCGTCTCTAGACTTGCTCTGGTACTGTTCATTTCCTACTTTTTTTTTCCCTTGCTAATATTAAAAGCAGATAAGGTTAGAGACTCTTTTTTTTTTCGCTTTAGTTTTGTTGCTAATAATTTTGAAAGCTTAAAAGACTTGGTCTTTTTGTTTTTGGTTTATGAATAATTGGTAATTAGTACAAAGAAGTTGTTAATTATATATTGTTAAAGTTATCGAAAGCTTGAACTAGGGTTTTGAGGGATTTAGCTGCATTAATCAGTTTAGTTAATATTGATTTAGAGACGAAAAGAAGTTTCTTTTAGCTGTTGACCTGGAGTGGAGATTTAACATGTTTTAAATTCATAAGAATTTTATTTTTTGGGGGCTTAACTTGTTATTATAGTTCAGGTGACATATGCTCAAAAGTACGCGTATATATTTGAAGGATATGCAAAGTTGATGGGTTTTTTTTGTTCCTTCACAGCTGTTTTTTTCTTACCTGCATCGCCATGTAAGATAGGCAATTTTACTGTAGATGTTGTAGTTTCGGGTAATTGGCTTGGTCCCTTATGTTTTTATTTGGTTCGATGGGGGGAGGACACGCCTGTTGAACCAAAAAAAATGACCAAGTCAATCACCCCAAATTACACGTACAGCACAACATCCTTGGTCCCAATTTTCTTATTAGTGTCATTTGTCTTTTCCAGTTTGATTTGTTTGGATAGTTTACTTCAACTTAATTGATGCATTTCTGTCATAAATGTTGAGCATGGTCTGCTAGTTTATTCTTAATTTTTCCACTTGTGAGCAATTCTAAACTGGATTGATGAGATTATTAATTTACATTTTCTTCTTCATCTATTCATTATTCACTGTACAGCCCATGATCTTCAGTGTTGCTGAAAATTTGGATCACTATCATTTTCCAACTGCATGAGAGAAACCGCCAAATTCATTTTAAACTGTCCTTATTAAACTTGTTTTCCAAGACAAGTACATAGTTTTTTATTTATCTCTCATGGCACAAATATCCTTACTGTGTCCAATAAGTTAAAGTTTGTCATGAAATATCTTCCCAAGTTTTTATTTCTAAGCAAGTTTTCTTTGAAGAATTAAAAAACAAAATCCATCGTTTTTTTATTTTTATAGTGTGAGAACAATTTATATTGGAAGTATCTTGTCTCTCTGAATAACAAAGTTATATGTATTCAAATTTGGATTTCTGTTTTATTAATCAATCAAAAACAGTAAGACAAAGTTAGATGACATTGCTTTATGATGATATAATATTGAATGGCATACTTCCAATATTGTCTTCATCTGTAATTTTTTATTTACAGTTGCATGGGATCCGGGTGTAATAACGCCTAGAAAGACAGTTAAAGACCAAAAACCTCTTTGTTTCCTAACTATATAAGCTGTTGAAATAGTACTTTCATTGTCCTGCTCTTTTTTACATGATGCCATCAACAATAATGCTAATTCCTAGGCCCCTTACCCTTTTTGCATCACTATCAACCTCTCCCATAACCATGACAATGCATTGGCTGTGAGGTGCTAGTTAGCATTACTACGAGGCATACCAGAGGAATCACCCCACACAAGGAAGTAGCATGATTAATCGAAAGGCTGGATAATAGTGATGTAGTAGTGGCGGGCATTGTTAGTTTGCACCTTCTGCTAAATGGTTTGAGAGCGACATGTGATGTTGAGTTAACTATTAAGTCATAACTATTAATTATAAAAATTCTGGGCTTGTGTGTCCTGATGTTGCATCCATTTTTCTATGTAAGATTACATTTCAAATTTGTTATTCCTTAATTGTTGTATTTCTTTCTATCCTGATATATAGCATGATGTTTTTATAATTGTTGTATTCCTTAATTGTTGTATTTCTTTCTATCCTTAAATTTTTACATCTGTAATTGCATCTGACTGCTTTCTTCTCCGTCTCACTGTTTTAGGGACACACCCATGGATTATGATGAAAATGATTTTCAAAATCACAATCTTCATTTAGCTGGTGAAGGAAGCAACAAATTTCCTTCTGTTTTACAGCCATATGCTCTTCCCAAGTTTGATTTCGATGACAGTCTAAATGGATCTTTAAGGTTTGATAGTTTGGTTGAGACTGAGGTTCTTCTTGGCATTGAAAGTAACGAAGACAATCAGTGGATTGAAGATTTCTCTCGTGGTACCAGTGGGATACAGTTTAGTTCAAGTGCAGCAGAGTCTTGTTCTCTATCAAGACGCAACAATGTCTGGTCTGAAGCTACTTCCTCAGAATCTGTTGAAATGTTATTAAAATCTGTTGGCCAGGAAGATAATACTCCTATACAAACTAATACTAAGGAGTCAGATGCCTGTGATGAACTGGGTTGCATACTAAAGCACATGGAGCCCATCTTGAAACAGGATAATGATACATCACCTAAAGTGGAAGATACTGCGAATTTACAGGCTAAATTTCTGCCAGGCGAGGATGTGGAAGATTTTTCTGTGTTGGATAATGATGTTGGACAGCAGCAGCCTCTTGATGATAGTTCTCAGGATCATAAAGGTGAAGCATCTGCTGATAGTGGTTTGGGACCTTTAGTTGACCTATCTGCTATTAGTGTAGAGGTCAGGCAACCTGTTATTGAAGGGAGTCTGTCCATTGATAGTAAATCTAATCATGTTACTCAAAGGGAGATCGATAATGTTGTGAATGGATCTTCAAATGATAGGCCACAGAAAGTTCCTGCTTCAGGGATGCAGGATGGTGCCTCTGTGCAAAGTAGCACTACAGGAAATATTGAATTGAATGAAAAAGATGGCCCAGATGATATAAATATCACTTCTGATGATAGTAAAGATTTTCTGGAAACAGACACTGGTGAGAATCAGAAAAAGGGACAAGTATCAAGTCAAGAGGGCCAAATGGAGGATGAGAATCCTTGTTTGGATGCAGTGGAATCTATGGAAGAAGCTAACATCATTGAAACTAACTCGAGTAATTTGGGGGAACCTTCTTGCAAAATACTGAATTCACATTCTGGCTTCCCAGAAGACTTAGTGACTAGTGATCAGTCCAAAGTGGATACAGTTGGGGGATCAGTGATGGCTGTTGAAGATAATACTACTTTTAAGGGGCATGAAATTGAGGACTCAAATGGTTCCCAATTGGATAACAAGAACCTATCTAATAAGTGTGAGGGATCTCTCCTGTCTGCTGAAGACTGTGGGCCTGCTAAAGTGAAAGTTGGTGGAACTCGCAGCAGCGATACAGGTGGTGTTTCTAGTTTGGCTAAGGTGTGCTGTTCAGCTGAAGTTGTCGGAGAAGTGGCCCATGTTTCATCCTCTTTCCTTGCTGAATCATCACAAATATGTGGGAAGTCTGTGGTTTCCGCTGAGGGAAAGGACACCATAGAGCTTCCTTCTGGCAATGTTAGCACTGAAAACAATTTCATAGCTTCGAGATTGCAATCAGATGCTGCTTCTGACAACAATTCGGGTAAATGATGAAATGTTATTCCTTGGAATATTGCATTAAGCTGGCATAATTTATTTTTTTGCTAAAATATTTGTTTCTCTCTCTGTTGCAGCATCAGATGTTAGCTGCGAACATGCTCACGTGGTAACCTTTGCTACAATGGATGGTGTTCCAGCACCTTCTGGTGATGTCACTAATGTAGATGCAGTTATTGGTCACAAAGATGTCAAAATGTCACTTTTAAGTGAGATGGGGTTAAGTCCCTTAGATAAAGAGAAAGAAACCACGGACAAGATTTATGTGGAGGCCAGTTTATCAGGTCTGAAGACCTCTTGTCAAGTGATAGCTGGATTGGATCCTGGTTCTGAATCCAAAAAAGGTGCTTCTTCTGGTGCTGCAGGACAGATATTATGTGAGTCAGCTGAACAATCTCCATTAATGGTGGATGCTAGTAAAACAGAAGGACCTCATTCAGAAGTAATTGATAAGGTCAGCCTGAAGAGCACAAAGGAAATGAATGTGTGTCCAGTTCTTTGTGATTCAACTGCAAACAAGGGAGATGATGTTGAAGTGTTGGTAAAAGAAAATGATGAAAAGGAATCATCCAAAGTTTCAGGTGAGCTATAGCAACTTAGATGATAAGCATATTAGAACATGACTCTTAGGTTCTATTTTATTCACAGCTCATTGTACTCCCCAATATGTGTGCGGATATGCAAATTCAGATCATATAGTTTGCTATATCTTTTGGATGTTTATGAAGCTAGATGCCATGCCTTTTGTTTTAATTTGAATATGGCATTGTGGCTAATTATTTCAGCTGACACTCTGTTTTTATACATGTTTATCAGTAACTGGTACATACAAGAGTGAATTATCGTTTAGGTTTCTTCCCCCTATCTTGCTATCCTGATATGGGTATCCTGATTTGATGAATCCGATTTTTTTATTCTCGCAAGAACTCTTATGATTATGGCTTTGCCTCTCTGTGTCTTTTATTATGCAGAACCAACTGTAAACAAGAATGAGATGCTAGGACCTATCTCCTCAGAAAAGGAAGAGGGTCGAGAGGATGCTAACCAGAAAGGTCAGGAAGAAAATGAAGACGTCATAGTGTCTGAAGATAATAGTGATGGGAAGATTGCTGTCCCTAGCACAAACGGTTAGCCATTCATTTATTCCTTGTTGTTTTACCGTTAATCTGCCATTCCTGCATGGTAGCCTTGTCTGTGGTTCTTATTTGATTAAATAAAAAAAAAAACTCATGAATGTTCCTGGAGTTTTGTACCTTTAAAACTTCATTTTACATGGTTTGCTAGATTGTGGAAGTTGTGCTGATGTTGGCAAAGCAGCCAGTGGTTCCCCTACTGTCATCAGAGCCGCCAGAGATTTTCAGAGTGAAAGTGACAAGGATGGAGCCAAATATTCAGTTGAGCAGGCTGCTGTTGCTGATAGCAATGCCAGCAAAGCTTTGTCTCGTTCTCAGGATCTGAAACAAAATGATGCATCCAAAGATGAAAGGAGCTTCACTTTTGAGGTCAGTCCGCTGGCAAAAATGCCTCAAAAAGAAGTCGGCAATAAATGGCAGCCCTTTTTGAACAAACCAACCACTGAAGCCTACCCGGTAAAATTTCGATATGCACATCCTTTATTACCTCCCAATCATAATCTGACCTTATATTGACAAATACCTCTTATGATCCTAATCAATTTATTTTGTGTCTTTTCCTTTTCCTTTTCCTTTTTTGCTTCTCTTTGAAGATTTTGAATGCTTCTCCATCATCTGGTCTGGTCCAAATAGATCCCAAGCTTGCCCAAGATCTTCCTCATGGAAATCCAAAGGTGTCTGATGTAGCCATTGTGCGTAGTGGCTCTAAAGGTACTTCTGAGCGTAAAACAAGACGATCATCTGGTAAGGCCATGGAAAAGGAGAGTGCGAGAAAGGGAAATCCTATTAAAGATACTGCTTCTGTGAGGCTAGAAAAGGGGGCAAAAACAAACAATGTCTCCCCAAGCCCTTCTGGGATAGCGCAACATGTGCAATCAAATGAGATGCAGCGCTATGGTCATGTGGATTCCAGTACTAAGAAACCATTTGTCCATGCATCTTCAAGCCTTCCAGATCTGAATTCTTCTGCTTCTCCATCTGTGATGTTTCAACAACCCTTCACGGACTTGCAACAAGTGCAATTGCGTGCTCAGATATTTGTTTATGGCGCTTTGATGTAGGTCCTGCTGTTTTGTTATTGTAATATTGTTAGTGCCATTGCATTTTGGCACATATATGGGCTGAGTTGGCAAGATTAATTTCAGGATGTGATTCAGGTGCTTTTGGATGTCTTAGGTGGTGTTCATGATCTCTTAGCTCCTCTCATCCCAAAAGAGAGGAAAGAAAAAGAAAAAAAGAAAATACATATTCTGAACTGTTTTTTCATTTGGTTGTTGGATTTAATGGGTGGCTTTTGAATTTGCTGGATCCTTCTGCATGTTATATGTATAAAACCCTTACCGTTTGATGATTATGATATACCTAAATCTCACTTAATTTTGTTTGTGTCACAGACAAGGAACAGCTCCAGATGAAGCATATATGAGATCAGCATTTGGAGGATCTGGTTAGTGGCACTTTTCCTTGTTTTGTGATAATTCTCGACATTAAAAGAGAAACACATTCACTTTGACAATGTCCTGGTAGATTGTGGTAAAAGCATATGGGAGAATGCCCTACGCTCTTCTATAGAACGGCTTCATGGTCAAAAAACTAATCTCACTACTCCAGAAACCCCTTTGCAGTCACGTCCTGGTATGTCTGTGATTTTAAGCTGTCTAATCTTGCTTTAGCTTTGGTTGATTTACAAGTGTGACACAAATGAGATCTGCAGGTGTCAGAGCTCCTGATCAAGCAATTAAACAGAGTACTGTTCAAAGTAAAGTAATCTCTCCACCTATTGGTCGATCCAGCAAGGGTACTCCAACAATTGTGAACCCCATGGTGCCCCTTTCTTCACCGCTCTGGAGTGTACCTACCCCTGCTGGCGACGCATTTCAATCAAGCAGCATGCCAAGGGCTCCCATTATGGATCATCAGCGGGCACTTTCTCCTATGCATCCTCATCAAACTCCACAGATAAGAAATTTTTCTGGTAACCCTTGGATATCTCAGGCACCTTTTTGCGGTCCCTGGGCTCCATCTCCACAAACACCTGCACTTGACACAAGTAGTCATTTTTCTGCGCAATTGCCTATCACAGAACCAGTTCAATTGACACCTGTGAAAGACTTATCCATGCCAATTATCTCTGGTGCAAGGCATGTTTCTCCTGGTCCTGTAGCTCAGAGTGGGGCTTCCACCAGTGTTTTTACTGGGACTTTTCCTGTTCCAGATGCAAAAAAGGTTGCAGTGTCTTCCAGTCAACCTCCTGCTGATCCCAAACCTAGGAAAAGAAAAAAGAACTCAGTTTCTGATAGTCCAGGTCAGAATATTTTGCCTCCTCGCCTTCGAACAGGATCAGTTTCTGCTCCTGTTGTTACCAGTCATCTGTCTACTTCTGTTGCCAGTACAAGCCCTATCATCTTTCTTTCTAAAGCCCCTACAGAGAAATTTGTGACTTCTGTATCTCCTACACCTACTGATATCAGAAATGGGAATCAGAATGCAGAACAGAGGAATATTTTGGCAGAGGAAACCCTTGATAAAGTGAAGGCTGCGAGAGTGCAGGCAGAGGATGCTGCCACTCTTGCTGCTGCTGCTGTTTGTCACAGCCTGGAAATGTGGAATCAGTTGGATAAGCAGAGAAATTCTGGGTTATCACCAGATATTGAAACCAAACTAGCTTCTGCAGCTGCTGCAATAGCTGCAGCTGCTGCTGTTGCAAAAGCAGCAGCGGCAGCTGCCAAAGTTGCATCTAGTGCTGCAGTGCAAGCAAAACTGTTGGCTGATGAAGCAGTAAATTCTGGTGGTTACAACAATCCCAGTCAAGACAATACAATTTCTGTTTCTGAAGGCATGAAGAATTTGGGAAAGGCTACTCCTGCTTCCATCCTGAAGGGTGATGATGGGACAAACAGTTCCAGTTCAATCCTTATTGTGGCAAGGGAGGCTGCTAGACGGAGAGTTGAAGTTGCTTCTGCTGCTGCAAAACGAGCTGAAAATATGGATGCTATTGTTAAAGCTGCGGAGCTGGCTGCAGAAGCTGTGTCTCAAGCTGGGAAGATAGTTGCTGTGGGCGATCCTTTGCCACAGAATGAGCTAGTAGCTGTGGGTCCAGAGGGCTATTGGAAAGTAGCCAAAATAAATAATGAACTGATCTCTAAATCAAATGCTATAGGTAGAAAAACTCTTAACATAGATAGAGTTGGAGAGGGACCACACGCTCCAACTGAGGAGTCCACTGAGGACCATGTGAGATTGGAAGATGGTTTCTTGAGTTCTGGTGCAGCTGCTGCAAAGGATGTTAAAGGACAAGAGGGCTACAAGGTGTCTGAATCTGAGAATGGTTCAAGATCTTTGGGAACTATAGAAAACTTTAACAGCATCAAGGAGGGGTCCCTTGTAGAGGTTTGGAATCGCCAACTTTTCTTAGGTTCCATTATTGGAATTGTAAATCTTAATATATAAAGTTTGATAATTTTGTGTTCCTTTTTATGTTTCATCAAAGTTTGTTTGCCTTGAGTCCTTGTTAACTTATCAGTGTTTTTTGCTTTCCTAGGTTTTCAAAGATGGGAATGGATTTAAAGCAGCCTGGTTCTCTGCCAATGTCGTGGATTTAAAGGATGGGAGTGCATATGTGAGTTATACTAATCTTTCATCAGTTGAAGGTGAGTCATTGTGTTTATTGTCAATATATGTATTAGAAATTAGTAGATAGTTCTGAATGCAGAAAACTTGGAGAATCCTTGTGCTCAATTTCTTTTTGCTTCATGTGCTTTTTTATGTATATATGATAACTTGAAGAATGCCAGATGTGGCTTGTATGATGTGTTGCCCCAACTGCTGACATATGCATAGTTGCCTTAATATCTGTATCTATGGAGCTAATTCTATAAATGTTCTTACCTGTGTGGTTGTTTTAATTTGTGATCTGTACGAACTATGATGAACATGCCTGGAGGTCCAGGAGTACTGAAATGTGGGTTTTGACCTAGAAGATACAATCTTTGATAGTGTCATGTTCAACAGCATCACACAGGCTTTGCTGATCTCCCATACATACATAACCTTGTGGTCAGAGAGAATTTCCTTGTTGAATTCTATTATTGGCATCTTGCTCATCACAGCCACTGGCAGTGATTCTCTAAGGAGTCTCCTCAAGTAGCTTGTTGAAAGAAAAGGGAATAATTGTAGCATTAGTATTTTTGCACCCGCACATGCACATCAATTGATCATATTTTATTGTTTTGATTGTCTGCAGGCTCAGAAAAGCTAAAGGAGTGGGTGACACTTAGAGGTGAAGGAGAGAGAGCACCAAAAATACGAATAGCTCGCCCTATTACTGCCGTGCAATTAGAAGGAACAAGGAAGAGGCGACGAGCTGCCATGGTGGACCATATTTGGTCTGTTGGTGATAGAGTGGATGCATGGATTCAAGATAGGTATGTTACTACGTTTCTATACCATGCAGCTGTAGTGTGTGGGACCAACATTTAACAGGAATTTTCAAATATATGCGAGAAAAAATCCATTTATGTTTCTGGTACAAAATTGCTGGGGTAAAATATAGAGAATTACTCACAACTGGATGCAATTCTGATAGGTGAATAACTAAGTTTTGAATCCTATCTACACCCAGGTGCTATTTTATCAAGTGATTATAACCTCTTCAATCAATTCAAATAAATCTTTTACTAATATTTACTCCTCTTTAAACTTCCAGCTTTATATATATTAGAAATAGAAAAATATGAAAGTCTTTGTTTTAGCTTGAAACATCTCCCTTTCAGGGGGGATAAAGAAAAAAGGATACTTTTAAGCAAGGCTATGTTAGGATAGCAAGTTCTCCCATAAACTTTGGAAGAGAATATTGCAGTGTTGAAAATGTAGTTCATGCTTTTGTGAGGGTTGCCCATGCTCTCTTCCATTGCCTTCTACGCATAATTCAATCTAATGAATTTTTTCCCAATCCTTTGTGCTGTGAGGGCCTGTAAATGATGTGTTTTAAACTGCTGCACCCATGGTTTGGCACTTTATATATCATGCTACTCTGTATTTTCCATTCTGATACGTGTGAGATATTCTTCAGCTGGTGGGAAGGAGTGGTCATTGAAAGAAGCAAGAAAGATGGCACCACACTAACAGTCCAATTTCCAGGCATGTACAATTGGTTACTGTAGTTGAATGAATAATCACATGGTTGCATGCTTCTCGGTTAGTGGATATAAAGGTAGCATTTCATTTATGAATCTATGTCACTCTGCTTGCAGTTCAAGGAGAAACATCTGTTGTTAGAGCATGGCATCTTCGGCCTTCTCTCCTATGGGAAAATGGGGAATGGATTGAATGGTCCAGTTCAAGGGTGGGCTCTCATTCGACCAACAAGGTGCATTAATTTGATATTTCACTGTGTATTGACCTTAAACTTTCTTGCTTGCACTGACTTACAGATTTGATGCTCCAGGGTGATACTCCACAGGAAAAACGACTGAGGGTGCGGAGCCCTGCAGTGGACACCAAAGGGAATGATAAGTTGTCAAAAGGTTTTGATTCTGTGGAAACTAATAAACCTGATGAGCCAACTTTATTGGATTTAGCTGCTCATGAAAAATTGTTTAATATTGGTAAGAGTGCCAAAGATGGTAATAAACCTGACGGGCTCAGAATGGCACGGACTGGCTTGCAGAAGGAAGGATCAAAAGTGATCTTTGGTGTACCAAAGCCTGGGAAAAAAAGGAAGTTTATGGAAGTGAGCAAGCATTATGTTGCAGATCAGAGCAGCAAAAACAACGATGCAAATGATTCAGTAAAGTTTGATAAATATTTTATGCCTCGGGGATCAGGATCCCGTGGATGGAAGAATACTTTAAGAACTGAATCAATCGCAAACCGAACAGCGGCATCGAAGCCCAAGGTGTTTAAGTCAGGAAAGCCACAGAATGTTTCTGGTAGAACAATTACTCAGGACAACTCATTGACAACTACAGTTTCTGCTTCCAGTGATGGTGCTGTTACAGATCATGTTGCAAAGACCAAGGCTTCTATAAGCCATGTTGAAAATACATCCGAAAAACGTAACTTGACTGACTTTCAGCCCTTATCTAGCTCCGTGCGAGTAACAGAGGGTCCAATATTTTCTTCCTTTCCTCTTCCTTCAGGTACACTTTCCTCTAAGAAAACTTCCACATCAACTGCTAAACCTCAACGGGTAAGTAAAGGAAAACTTGCTCCTGCTGGTGGAAAGTTGGGTAGAATTGAAGAGGACAAAGTTTTCAATGGAGATTCTTCAAAATCAACATCTGATGTCACAGAGCCACGAAGGTCTAATCGTAGAATTCAGCCTACATCAAGAGTAAGTTCTTAGAGCTCTGAATTCATACCTTGTGCTAGTCTCCTCCCTGGATCTGCTTCTGTGAGGATGATAATGGCCTTTATTGTTTTTGAAGCATTTGATGTAATAGCATGCACTTTAGTTTATTGCATCAAATCTTTTTTTATTTGGTAGCTTGCTTTTTCTCACCCATACAAAGCAGGCTGGTTTCTTCCTCATCCCCTTTGTTAGGGGACAGTAGGTCTGTAGAAAATCTAGCTTCCTTTTGACAATACCCATGTTGATATGCTGATTTCTACTCAACCTAGCATATTTTAGCTCGTCAGCAATGTCCAAAGGTTTTTGGAGCATCTCTTTCAGAAAGACATGTTTCTATACTTTGTATCTGTCCAGTGAACGCTTTTTCATTCGGTCAAAGATGGGTAATGAATAAAAATTGAGGAATTGTGGGTGCAAACAATTTGAAGATAATCTTTTCTCCTTACAATTTTCCCCTAAATATCGCTGGTGCAAGTGGAACCACTTGCCTATTCCTGTTAATTGTATAAATAGTCCTGTTAATTGTATAAATAGTCCTGGGAGGGTGAGTTTCAAAAAAGAATTTTTAAGTTCTTTGGGTCATTTGTTGGGTTTTTCGTTGCCATTTTCTTGGGATCTTCTTTGGAGCAGTTCAAATTGATAGTAGTCATGACTTTTTGCCATGGAGTACCTTCTGTTTTTATTATCCTTTTCTTGGCAATTGTTTTTCAAGCAGATTAACGTCTTCATGCCTTGTTGATCGTTGTTGTTCGCAGCTGTTAGAAGGGCTACAAAGCTCCTTGATGGTGTCAAAAGTTCCATCTGTGTCGCATGATAAAAGTCAGAAAAGTAGGACTGCTTCTAGAGGTAACATCTCCCTGCTGAATTGCAGGGGATTCCAGCCTCGTGTGTGCATTTGTAGATGATTGAAAATTGATAAAACTGTGACTGCTTTCGTTGTTGCAGGGAATAACCATGGTTGAGAGGAGCTCATGCAATGATGATATCGAGTGCAAAGATGCTCCATTGTGGCTGGACAACACTGCAAGAGTAGTTGTGTATATTTATAGTAGAGGTGATAGGTAGGAATGGAAATTCTGCTTGGGATAATATGACATGTAGTGGGTAGATGTTCATATCAATTTTAGTTTATTTGCGATGATGATTTGATCTCCCAGCGTTTGCCATAAGGGTCGTATATGGAAAATCTCCATATAGTTTGGCTTGAAATCGCAGGAAGCTTTGCTGATCAGTCATGTATGCCTTGTGAATTCCCGTTTTAGGTGGTCGGTGGTCGGTGGGGATGGTTATTTCCACATTCAATAAGCTTTTCTTTAGTTTTCTGAATGGAAGTTGCTATTTAAATTTAGCGAGGGGGGCTGATTGAACTGCTAGAGGTCCCTGGCCCCTGGCCCCTGGTTACTTTTGTTAGAGCGCTATAATATCGATCATTTACTACTTGAGCCGAGGTATATATATACCTTGTAAGAGATTACGTGTTAGGTCCGATATACGAAGAAGAAAAAAATAAATAAAGTGGATGATCCTCCTCTAGTCCTATTGGTTCTTGAACTGTGAGGTTTTCTTCCTAGCTTAGGTTTTCTTGATCTAGTGTATGATCTAGTCTTCAGAACCTGTCTCAGTGTAGCTTAGCTTGTAAATGTATAGAATGGATGACAACCTGCTGCGATGGCTCTAGGTTGCCGCTCTAAAAAAATTAACCGCGGTACATAGAAAGTGGTTCGTAGCTTAGGGAACGGTTTGGATTTGTTGTTTTAGTGTTTTATGGAAGTATTTTTGACAAATTAATATTGGTTTTTAGTGTTTTTTTTAATGATTTTAATTAAGTCTGAAAAAAATTATTTTAATATTTTCTTAAAGAAAAATATTTTGAAAAGTATAAAGCTTAGCAAAATCTTTTCACTGTCATAACAGGGTTGATCGCAGCTTTATCGTCCGTAACTAGCTTTCCTTTTCTTTTTCGTTCCATGAAATGAAATGAGCGCTTGATACGCGAAACGAGGCTGCTTTGCTTATAAAAATCAACAAACGGATGGCCAGCAAGGACACCGTTTCCATTTGTCTTGCACGTCTCTAAGCTTTTTTTCCTTCTGCATGGTAAAACCACTGCGGTGGCAAACAATTTCACACTGCAGCCCGCTTCCAGTTATCTCAAACACATGTAGAGAACGCAGAACATGACTGCACAGTAAAGTTGCACTCCGTTGATGCATCCAAATAAGTTCCATTGACCTCACAAACCTACAAACATGTTTCCCTAGCAAAACTATCTATAGACAATTGCAGATCATTTAAGTTCCCCGACTCCTGTAGGCCTAGTTCATTCAATGATCTAATCACAGACTGGAGAGAAGGAAAGCAGATACTACATTGGAGAAGGCTTAAGTTACGATGCCGCTATCAATAAAAATCTTGTGCCAGCATGTGAAGAGGCATGTGCTCGTAAGATGAAATCTTGGAGGCATAAATTTCTGCCTGCTACTAATCAGGAGCTGCCTCCACTCTTACCATCAGTCAGGGAAAATTTAATCATCCTCATTCTCTCTTTAAAGATATCGGTTCTTCTCCCATTCTTCTCTTCAATCTCTGGAGGCTTTTGTCACCTTGGTTCTCTCCAACATACTTAGAGTGAACTTTTTCCTTCAAGTTCACAGGAATCCTGGCTAACAGTTGATCTTTACCCTTGCTGTTTTCATCATCAGTGAATGGCCTCTCACAGATACAAGATGGATATTCATGAAAGTCACCCCGTCCAGGCCTCACCTCATCTGGCTCTCCCATAAATCCTCTCTGGCTTGCCTTCACCTTTTTGGAAAATGTATCCCAGCCCATCCGATCCCTTGCCATGAACAATGCACTAAGCTTCTTTGCGTTTGGTCTGATGGTCCTCTTATGCCCAGCGTACCTCCTTGGATCCATTATTTATGAAAAAAAATATTTGTGCAAGGAAATGGCACGTAAAAAAGAGTGAATTATACAAGAGTGACTTTTTTATGTACTAAATGACAGCATATAATGTTACAAGCAAGATTTTAAATTTTTGGAGGGGTGTACTATTATATGGGACAATTATAATTACGGAAACAGAATAATTAATAATGCATCGATCATAAAGAACACATCTATAGTAAACAAATATTAGTAAATGTAAGTATCTCTAGATTATTTTTTTCTTGAGAAGGATCCCTAAAATTACTCATTATATAATGTCTTGATTGCCTTTAGATGATAATGACATAAAAAATCCAGTACTCACACAAAAAGATATTCTTGGGAATTTACATATTAGAGTTCAATTCAGCCATTCTGGCTCAAACTTTAATCTCAATAAATTATCTAATCTGAGCCCAGGGCAATATTAATGCAGTTCAACAATTTCCATATTATCACAAGAGAAGCAAGCATGTTTTTTCAGTTAGATCTTACTGCTGTTTTTTCCTTATAATACCTGAGAATATCTTATAGTATGGTCCAAAAACTCAAATTTGTCTAAGACATCACACAGAAAATGTAGAACATATAGGCAGCAGTATTTTCAAAGAACTATCTGCCTTGAAAATTCAAATTTAAATCACTTATTCCTCGGTATTATAATCAAATTATGGACCACAAATTAATTTCAAGCTCAAGCATATTCAAGACAAATAGGAAACTATGGACTAGTATTTTCTCACCTTTCACCAGCAAGAATCTTGGCCATGTTTCCATTATTATTTGTGACGAAGACATCGCTCTCATCACAGACAATGTAGTCGATGGCCGCCAGGCGGGAAGAAAATGGAAGAAAAGGTTTCAGATCTTCAACTGCCAGCATCTCCTTTGTATAGAAGTTTGGGAAGAGTTCTCTAAGGGGCCTTAGAGTCTCTTCTCCACCATATATTTCTCCAGATGCCACATAGAGGTACGTGTTGTTAGCAAAACCAAGGGCACGCAGCATTAATCCTACTTCATGAGGAGTGAGTGGACATTTTCCTCTCTCTCGCTCTCCATCAGGGCTTAAATCCTAAAATATAGCAAGTACAAATTTGGGATAAATTAAAACGTCAGAATCCATCTTAACAAAGTACGGTCCTCATTTCCTAGTAATTACAAGAAAAGTGCAGTGAGTGACATGAACCTATGGGTAGAGAACCTTTCTTTAAATATAAAATTGGAGATTATAAAGGAATAGCATTCTTTTCTTACAGGTAATGTTGCCCATCTTTTTCTTATTTCCCCGAGCTCAAATCTCTCCTTTTCACCCCCACCAAAGTAACACCCAGAAAACGCAAGCATATCAGGTTCGAACCTGTAATTTTAAACAGTCGGGCCATGAACAACACAGAAATCCAAATATGCACACAAAATTCACCACAGTCGAGCTCAAAACAAAGCTTGCTCATAAAATACAAATGTCAGGATATGATAGCAATCTAGTTGAATTCAATGATAACAATTAAAAGGAGAGTAAGATATAGAAGCCAGTTCTTCTACACAAATGGTCAGTTATAATATATTTAGCATTCATTAGTTGCAAAGACAATCTGATAAGCATCCCTACCACAGCCCACAATGGAATGCATGCAATAGAATCCGAGCATTCATGCACACTGTGTATGTGTGTGAAGAGGGGGAGGGTGTCATGTAACATATAGTTATGTGTGAGGAAGGGGAGGGTGTCATGTAACATATAGTTGTACATGAAAATCTGTGAAAGGTCTAGAATCTAGAGGAGAATCTAGCCAAGATAGCATCCCAAAATCATAAATTTTAGCCATGTCTACTCACAGCTGCCTTGGCCACTAATTGGGGACAAGAACAACAAATCATCCAACTATGTTAATGACATTAAAATTGTGGAAGAAACCTTTTTGTTTTTCTTCAGATTAGACATGTCAATTAAATTTTGAGGTAAAGGTAACAAACCTCAAGTGAACTGCAATATAACGTTTTGCCATCTTTCGCATTTTTGTGACAAGTGTCTCACCAATTTCTTGTATGGGTTTTGTAAATCTTAAAGCATGATAATTAACCCGGCAGCGCAACTTTTGCAGCTCTTCATCAAGGTTACTTGCAAGCCTATAGTCAAACTTTGTCAGCTGCACAACCTGCAAAATTTCATATCCTATTGAATAAAAGGATAATGCTACATAACCCAAACAAAAGTTAACAATTTTCACACAAATAGACACAATGGCAGGAGTCACAATATTATGCAACTTATGGTTCATTTATTTCATCTTTCTGTTTGTGTAAATTCGTTAAAATTCATTTCATTATATTCATCTTTATCCATCAATAAAACACTTCGCACCATGGAGAAAGAGACCTGGCTTTCCAGAACTTTAAAAGAAACACAAGGGTACATGTGGAAAATAATAGCTAACAGGAAACTATCAGATTTAAAAGAATAATTCGAAGCTGAGCAGAGTGCCTTACACGTCTTCTCAATAGTATTGGCAGAACTTGATCCAGATAATATTCAGGAGGGGATTTTCTTGGGACACGCATGGTATATGGGGGTTTTTCCATCGACCGCATGACTTTATCAGGAACTCTTTTCACAATGGTGACATCTTTTGCAAGGTAAGAAATGAACTGATCAATGTCAAAAATGTTGACAAAGTCACTGCATGCAAAGCAACATCTCTTTAATTAGACAATAGGTGTAAGGTTGAATATAAAGAGTGCAATTATGAGAAATAAATAAATGATCTTCTGGATTAAGTACTAATGTAGATAGAATAACAAGTCCTAACTTGCCTATCATCCTTCCAATAAGAGCGATGATCTAACTCGGGCACAACTAATGTAGCATTAAGAATTCGTGCAACAACCACAGCATCTGTTATCTACAAAATTGTCATTTTCGAAACATAATACATTAATCTTCTGGAGAAAATAAGCACGGCAACAAATATATAACCCTGTTTGATAAAGCACTCTCAATCAAAAGTTTCTGTAGCATAATAAGTTAACCTTCACTTACTCCAGTTCTTTGTTGGTTCAACCCTCCACTTGCAGCAATAAGCAAATAGCCATTAGAAGCCCGCTCACGTATGGCAGCTACGTACAAAATTAGCATTGTTAGAAAGTTTAAACGATAATGGAAAATCCCAGCATCCTGTTCAAACTTGAAAAGAAATAACAGAGCAAATAATATCTACTCTAACAGCCACTGATTCAGTGTTGATAGAGAGAAATCGGTCTAACATTGTTACAGAAAACAAAGATTCTAGTAAGAAAAAGCAACTTAAGAAGAAATTTTGAACATACAAGGAAAATTACGCCCTCTTTCGCTACATCCATAGAACAAATTCGAGTACTTCGATTTCCAAATATCAATGCCTTCGCGTCGCCTCCCCTCCTGCCACACCATTGCCACATTACATCAACCCAATCTCTAAAAATATTCAAATTTTCTATTTTTATTAAATAAAAAAAAATACTTTTATTCAAGCAACATTACAAAATAAAACCAAGAAAAATATTGAAAAACTTGTAATTAATTGATTAAGTACCAGCCTAGAGTAGAAGAAGCTGCGCTTGACTAGTCGTTGAGAGTACCACTCAAGATCAGATGCCACGTGTCCAGTGAAGAGAGAAATCAATCCCAAACCAAACAGCATGAAACCGCAAACTAGCGACCGCGGTACCTTCCTCCGCTGCTGTTGCAGCTGCGTCACCGAGGATCTCCACCACCGCCAGTCATTGTATTTATCTTGATGATATTGATAATGCTGGCCGTTTGGCTGGTTTGAAAGAGCCGCCAGGTTCGGTTGTTCCGATATCAAGCTAAGCCTCCAAGGCACTCCCAATTACTTCTACTTCCGATTCTGCCCCTGTTTTCATCATTTAATTTACTCAATTTGCCACCACTCAAATGTTAATATTAACAATGCCAATTGTGTAGAGATAATGGAAAACCCTAAAAATTAAGGTCTCTTCAGAGATCAGACTACTGTTTATAGATTTCTCTTTCTTAATTTTTGAAATGTGGAAGACTGTTACAGGTTTTTTCTTTTCTTTCCTTCCGTTTTCATGGAGAGGAGAGCTGTAAAAAACAAAAGAAGGGAAAGTGAGGGAGAGAGAGCGAGAGGAAACCTGCGGCCATTCACTTTCCAACTCCGTTTATACTTTACAGGAACGTTAGAGGGGCATGAGTTGAACCGTCACAAAAATGAAAGTAAGTTGAACCGTCACCAAAACGATGTTTCCTCTGGTTACATTACATTAGAGCATCCATATCCATATTTTAGTCAAAATAATAGAAAACTATTTTAGCTAATTCTCTAAAAAAAATATTATTATATTCATGCTTTTTAAAATAGAAAGTCCTAAGTATTTTTATTATTTTTTAATAAATTAATTATTTTAAAATTCAAATGCTAAAATGGATATATTTTAATGATAATTTATTTTTAATTATTCAATGATAAACTTTTAAAAATTAATTCTTTTAACGTATGTCAAACACAAATCTTTTGTTATTATTGTAATTGTCATGAATTTTTTTCTCATCCATCTAATTTTTTTATTTATTTTTTTATTTTAAATTCATACTAGTGTTGATTGTCAAGGGATACAATAAATATAACTATTTAAATTATTAATCAATATAATACGAAATGGGGAGATCGGAAAAAAAAAAACTTGATGACAAAAAAAAAGAAAAAAAATAGAAATACTATTAAAATTCACAATGTTTTCCTTTTATAATGTAACTCACAATAAAAAAAATCCATATCATTTAGATTGCTTATGGTATAGCATACATGAGATAGATTTTTTTTTTAAAAAAAGTAAACCATTATAAACTATGTATTTTTGTTAGTTGGTTATCCATAGACTCATTATTAGTCCAAACAAAGTGTAATTGTTTGAGGATTTTTAGGAAAAGATTATTATTTTTAGTTGTTATTATTATTTATATAGTTTAGAAAAAAAATTATGGTGTTCTTATTTTTTTTATTTAATTTAGAAAATAAAATACTGAGATTGATGATTTTATTTTTCCTAGTTTGTTTATGATTCTTTTTATTTTTGAGTTTTTTAATTTATCTGAGAAGTTATAAATATTTTAGATAGACAAACTATATTAAAGTCATTTATTCAATAATAAAAATTTTGAATTAGAATTTGTGGTGTGACTTTATTTAGCAAGGTTTGTGTTGCTTTGTTTTTATTATCTTTCTTATGTTGATTATATTTGATGTCAGATCTTTGCATCACAGTTTTATCATAGTTTTGTAGTTTTTTCAAATTCACCACTAATCATTAAATAACAAAATCAATTATAAAGACAAATATTTCTTCTTCTTCTTTTTACTTGTTTTAGATTCTTAATAAAGAAGAAGCCCTTTACTGATGGGGTAATAGTCATTATCCAAGATATAAAAATCATTTATTAATCCTTTATTTATAGAGCTTTTAGAAGCCTTAAAAGTGTGGTATGGAATGTTTATTACAACAACTAATGTCCATCTCGCGATAAATAAAAAATGTATATTTGAAGTTAGCTTTGTACAGTAAGTAAAAGGGCATGTTCCCTTATCCTTTTTATAAAGGCCTCTAAGGCTAGCCTTAAACAATTCTTCCACCCATCTCCTTATTAAAAATTTTATTGGGCAACACATTTTGTGGAGCTTTTCTTAGCAGGTATGCTAGTGCTGAAGCATGTCACTAGCTTAGTATAGAGGTCATTAAACCCATCAATAGAACTTGACTCTAAATTATTGTATCATAAATGTATAAACTCCCTTGGGTCGGCCAGACCATTATAACTGTCCAAATTTATTTTGTATAACTGTAATCATTAGAGATTTGAGTGTTCAATACTTGTTTGGACAGGAGAGAGCTCTTTTATTGATGGGGGTTATAATCATTCTCCTAAGTATGTTTATTTATAAACCATTTTTGTAATTCTTTATTTATGAAGCTCTCGAGAGTATGACATGGAACAATGATTACGGTAACTAGTGTCCATTTCACGGTAGATAAAAGGAGTATGTTTGGAATATTAGTTCTTTATGTGGGTATTATAATGGCAAGAGTATCCCTTTAAATAACTCTCTTGAATGTCATTCTACCTATTCTTTTATGGGTAGCATAATCATTTATAGATGCGTGATGCGGTCGACAGTGCGCTAGGGCATTATGTGTTGTTAAAGGTGCCAAAAAGGCATTGCATGTTGTTGAAGGTTTTTAAAACTTGTAGGGGATGACAAGATTGATTTTACCCTTAGATTGCAAGCACGATTTAAGTTAAGAGTTGCACCTGACTGGTAAATTGTTAAAGATTTGATTGGGTAGAAGTGTCCGTGATAACAAGTAGATTTGTCATGTATACTGACCTAAGTGTGTCTTAGTTGTGTGTCATGAAATGACTTAGAGATGTCACAAACAAGTTTTAGAAACTTATGGCTTTTAGATTAATTTTCCACAAACAAAACCAATTGATAAGTCCCAAATCCAAGATACTTAGGAATAAGGTTGGTGTGTTGGATAATTGGTTAATCTTTTAGTTTAAATAATATGATTTATCCTCTCTAGTTAAGATATGTGATGGCTAATAGTAGGTGGAGCCTGCTAAGTCAAGGTAGCTTAAATAATATGATCTATTCTCTCTAGTAACTAGTACATGCAAGAGGTCTTATTTGAAGGATACAAGGACTTTTTGATGCTTAAATTAATAACTTTATTGAGAAAGAAAGTATAATAATATTTTAAAGAAATAGAATTTAAAAATATTCTTGTTGAAAGTGTTAAGAATAAAGAGATTGTGAACCTGTGATTTGAAAGATTTATGATATATTTATAGCTTACCATTCTTGTCTTTCCGTGAAAAAAAGATACTAAAGTGTAATGTCATCTTTTATGATATTTTGAGTTGTATTTTACTAAAAATAACACATATTAAATAAATATAAAATATTAAAAGTCTAGCGTTGGTCTTAGAACAATTCTCAATAGAGTGTTGGGCTTGGGTAAGTTTTCGAAGCCCACTAAAGATGAAAATGAATTTGGATATGTTGCCTAGACCTAAAAACATTAGGCATAGGTGTGATAACCCTAGCCTACGAGGGTGCTGGGTGTGTCTACCCTGCATGGGTATACACTCAATGAAATATGTCACTATTTTAGTTTTTTCTTTTAAAAATATTATCTTGAATTTTTATTTTAAATCTAAACCATGTTTTTATTTAACTTCCAAGTTACTTATGGATTTACATATTTACTCTCTCTTTTTTTATCATCTAGGTTTTTTTGTTCTTTGATTTTCTTTGGAGTTAAAAACATTTTTGGTCTAACCCACGATATATCAAAAGGAAGAAGGGAACTAGTAATATTTAAAGATAGTGATTTTAGTGTTGTATTAGTTTTATTGCTCATGCTTTGTTGCGAGTACAGGTCAAAGATGTCAATAATATTCATGCAAGTTTTTTTGGTAAACATTAGCCATAATCTAATAATATACAAAGAGGACCTCATAACCCAATATAAGTAAAAACAAACACAATTGACCATAAAAAACTTTTCACCAGTTTCACTAAGTCAAGTAGTTTCATTAAGCCGAGTTGAGTAGGTAAATAATAAAACCTCTCACCTCGATAGTTTGTATAGCCAGAGCTTTAAATTGATTACGTGGAAATTGCTCCAACATGACTAAGTTTATTTGATTGGGCAAAAGAAAATCCAAATAACTAATAAAAACATGAGTCGGCTTAAAAAAATTGATATAACATTTTTTATTTATTTTAATTTTGAGGTGGATACCAAGCAAGTCACCCTTCAGCCAACCTAGGTTAAATGCAAAATTATGACCCGGGTAATGAGCATGATCACAATGCGCTAGCTCGAGTGGTCAACTATCGTTTTTCTTAACTTTACCCTCATTCTTTCCCTCATTTGCCTTGTACTAGCTTA